TTCCTCCCTCTACGTCACCCATTCAGCCCTTCCCCGCCCCTGTCCAATATTCCTGCTTCCCCTTCCCCCTCCCCCCGTTGGACAATACCACCCTTTTGCAGGCGACTGCTGCTGCAGCCGATGTGAAATAGGAAATGAAAACAAGGGTGTCTTTGTTTTAAAGTACCCATTAGCATCGGGCGCGCGCAAATACAAATAGTAAGGTAAAAAACGAAAGCACACAAAGAAACGCTGCCTCGTTGCGACAAGCTGACAACACATGAACACCTGCCACTGTTGTCCCCGTTGCCCCCCATTTCTCGCACAGATACAGAAGTGTATCGGTCTGCCTGTCCGTCTGTCTGCTGACCTGCAGCAGGAGGCGGACGCAGTCGCAGGAGCGCGACAGCTTGACGATGGCGCAGTGCAGCGGGGTGCGGCCGTTGTCGTCCTGGCTGTTGGGGTCGGCGCGGCGCGCCAGCAGCAGCTGGATGGTGGCGGCGGACTGCGCGTGCGCGGCCAGGTGCAGCGGTGTCTGGCGCCTCCAGTTGAGCGCCGAGGTGTCGGCGCCGGCCTCCAGCAGCAGCCGGGCGCACTCGGTGTTGCCGTCCTCGGCGGCAAGGTGCAGCGCCGTGGACCTGGGTGCCAAAGTGTATAGTATAAATGCTCTAATGAATTGCACATACAACTACTTGAGTGCGACTTCGTCAAGCAAAGCCCGAGTTTCGTCGGAGTTTATCAAAGTTCGGCCCGCTAGGCCATGCTCCTCCATCCCGGCAGGCGGGGGCCGGAGCGCCCTGGAGGTAGGCAGAGCCGCCGCGCGCAAGTGTCCCGCGGGTCTGCCTACCTCCCGGCGCGCACCGCTCCCGGAGCGAGGGTTGGAGTGCAGTTTGGAGCGGAGAGCTCAAGAGTCTCTCTCAAGTCAAGATGCACTCTAAGCTGTCGCGGGGAAGGGGGAGCGGGGTAGTGGCCTCGAGCAGGAGTGAGCACTCACGGGAAAGCCGACGCCCTCCCCCATGGCTTCTATGGAAATCTCATAATGCTATGACAAGTCGATGGATAAAGATGTGCACGAGAAAAATCCTGCTGTTCTAACCACAAGTAAACGTTTTCCTCCTGAAGTTTCAACCGAAATACTTTTGTTGAGAGGGATGTTCAAAACTTTGACTGTGCATGACAAAGAAGTCGCTGGGTTGAATTTCGAAACTGTAAATTTTATTTCGAAATGTTTCATTCTCTAAAGTTTAAGCTGCGCGAAACTTTCGCTTTGCTGTTAAAAATTGGCTCACCTACACTTTGCAGTGTAGCGGGTGTGGCATGTACGCTGCATGCCGGTGACGCTGTGTTTGCGAGACGAGGGCAGACAAAGAGCACCCGCTGCTGGCGCTCGTGGCTGCCGCCACCAAACGGTGGAATGACGCACACAAGCGCAGGCCC